TGACTGAAGAGGCTCCTTTCTCCTGTCTCAGAATGAAACCACCGCCGCATCCTGCTCTCGCTGCCAGGGAGCCAAGGAGTGAGCACAGCTGGGGAGGGTCAGGCTGGGAGGGAGCTGGCCACCAACACGCATTTCCTGAGCTCCTGTGCGGACGCGTTAGGTGTGTTAATGAGGTGGAGGAGGTCAGATGTGGCGCTGTCCTTGAGACAATCCACACACACACACACACACACACACACACACACACACACACACCTGCCACGAACGCACAGCTGCAGCCCCTGGGCAGGGGGAAGGTGAGGTGCCGCTCAGAGGCAGCCTGAGAGATGGGGACAGGGTGCATGTCACCAGGGACTACACCAAAGGGCTTGCAAGGAGCCACAGCCTCCATGAAATGGCTTAAGGACATGGGCGTTGCTGTCAGACTCGGGGTTCAAGTCCTGGTTCTGCTGCTTATGACCTTGGGCAAGGGACCTAAGTTCTCAGTCTCAGTTCTGTCCTTCAGTCCACGGGAACCATACCATCCGCCTCCTGGGACTATGACAAGCTTCAAACTCAGAGAATCTGAGCTCCTTCAAGCAGCAGAATGAAAAGAGGCATTGGCTCCGTGCCTGTCTCCCTCGGCACCTTGGAGGGGCCGTGGGGTGCAGGGGGCGGAGCTCGGCAGGGGAATGATTGTGCTCCCCAAACTTTTCTTGGTGCTCATATTTGGGAGCTGACTTCTTGGGGCGTTCATCACCTTTGGTCCCCGGCTGAGTTAGGGCTCAGAAAACTCAACCCGCTTCCCCTGACCGCTGACAGCAGCTGCCAACAGGGAGGGCAGCCCTGTGGAGGGCGAGGCTCTGCCGGGGGCGCTGATGAGTCAGGTGTGAGTGAGGCCGGCGCGAGCATCTGGACTAATTTGTCCCTCGCAGCCGGCCGCCCGCCACTTCCTCCTCTCCCGCCCTTATTTGGAGGCCCTGACAGCTGAGCCGCAAACCATTGGGCGATTCCCGGCACCGGGTCCCGTTGCCCGGGAGAGAGCAGCCGAGGCAGAGGCAGCGCATGGCTGTGAGATAACCAAGGACTCTTTTTTGCTCTTCTCACACCTTTGAAGTGGGAGCCTCTTGAGGCAAATCAACAAGAATGTGGCTCTCGCCGCCGAGGTTCCCGGAGGTAGCGGGGGCTGCTCAAGGCGGAGGGGCTGTGGAGAGCTCGGCTGGGCCGATAACTTTAAAAGGGCATCTTCTGCTGGCTCCTCACGCAGCGGCTTTATCGCGGCAAGTGACAGAATGGGGAGGGTTCTGTCCCCCTGGCGCTCTCGGAGAGCCGGGGGGGGCTATAAAAAGAGGAGGCGCAGAGCGGCCGGGAGACGGAGCTGAGCGAAGGTCAGTAGAGGGGAACCGGAGAGGAGAGAGAGAAGGCAGTCAGCAGCAGACCACTCCCTGACCGCCGCCAGCATGGGCTCCTTCTCCACCATCACCGCCAGCATCCTCCTCCTCCTGGCGG